CAGGGGTGGAGGTGTTGGGGCGGGGAAGCAGCAGAGTCAGGTGTCAGGCTGGCGCCGTGGAGGACAGCGGGGCAGCGGCGCCTTCTCAGGTCCGGTCTGTCTTGAGCCTCGATGGCCCTGCGGCCTTGGCCCGGAGGTGTTTTATCACAGCAGCGCTCCGCTCCACCGAGAAGACCCTTGGGTCAAGGCCAGGCACGCCCTTGGGTGTGTGCTTATGTCTGCTGGCGGCTGGTTACTCACCGTCCTTGGTCATCAAGGGAGGTGTGGTAAAGGCGGGGATGCGGGGTCATGTCTCCACACGGGTGCCCCGGAATGGGCACGTGGGGGCTCGGAGAGGTGCCTTCCCAGCACTCGAGCTCTTCCCGCTCCCAAGATCCAGAGGGTCCTTCCTGTGGTCTCGCCCCTGCCCACGAAAGCTGCAGCTGGTGATGAAGTTCAGCTGGGCCCATGGGCCCCCTTCATTCCTCATGGGACCAGCTCCCTATTTCGCAAGTCTTCCATGAGCCCGTCCCCGGCCTCTCTTGTAAACTTTCCCGTCAGCTCCCTCTAGGTCTGTGGCCATCGCCCCAGACCCCAGGTGTAGTCTTTCCTCTCGCTCCTGTCCTGCTCCCCCCCCCAGAGCTCTCAGAGCCTGTGGAATCGCCTGTCTGTGTTGCTGAACCTGTTGCCAGCTGCCGGTGAACTCCAGGAGTCTGGTGAGTGAGGCCCTGGCACCACCCTCCCTTCCCCTCTCCCTCCTCGGTGGCCCCACAGAGCCCATCCCCCCCTCCCTGGTAACCCAGCCTGGGGGTAAGGAGGTTAATGGGCCCCACTGCCCGGCCGCCCTGACGCACAGAGGCCACTGTGGTGTCTGCGTCTCCGGTTTCCCCGACACTGCCCTGCCGGTCGGCCGGGGAGTGTGCTCCCCGGGGAAGGCGAGGGGATGGGCGGGAGCAGCGAGGGGAGCCTGGGAGGCAGCGCCGGCTGCTGGTACCCGTGCCTGTCCCTGAGTCAGCCTCCGCCTCCAGAGCTCATTCTCTCCTGCCGCCTTCCAGCTTTCCCCACCTCTGGCCTCGCCTGAGAGACGTGCCCTCCTCGCTTTCACCCTGCTGTCGGCGAACCTTCCCCATCCGAGCCATTGTTGCCCCCGCCCAGCCGGCTCTGGTCTTTCCGAGCCGTGCGGGTGGCCCTGTGTGTCCGCCTCTCTGTTTTCAAGGGGAAGAAGGGCCGCGTCCTCCGGGGGCTTCCCTAGGGCAGGTGGTCTCACATGTCTTCTTTCTCCCAGGCCTGGCCCTGTGTCCCGAGGTCCAGGACCTTCTCGAAGGTGGTGAACTGCCTGACCTGCCCTCTAGCCTGCTGCTCCCAGAGGACACGGCCCTTCGTAACCTGCCTCCCCTCCGGGCCGCCCATAGACGCTTTAACTTTGACACAGATCGGCCCCTGCTCAGCGCCTTAGAAGAGGTGAGGATGGGTTTTCTCATGCCACAGCTTCCGTTGTTAGTCTCACCTGGCAGCACAGCAGGCAGCCCTACCGTCCAGGCAGGGAGAGTGTCCTTGGGCTGGGCTGGGCCGGGAGGGCTTCCTCCGGAGAGCCACGCAGCTCGCTTTCCTTCTTGGCAGGATGCTCGTCTACAGGCGAGTTGTTGTAGGACAGGCCTCGCTCCAGTGTATCCACCTTTTATAGAGGGCGGAACAGGGACTGTTAGGGCTGGAAGAGACAGTGCTGCTCATCTAGGCCAGTTACTCTTTTCATACACACACACACGTATATGTTTACTTAACGTTAGAGAGAGCGCGCGCGTGCGCAGAGGTGCGCAAGCCGGGGAGGGACAGAGGGAGGGAGGCACATAATCCTAGGCAGGCTCCGAGCTGTCAGTGCAGAGCCTGATGAGGGGCTCGAACTCATGAACCGCGAGATCATGACCTGATCTGAAGTCGCACGCTTAAGTGACTGAGCCACCCAGGTGCCCCAGGCCGGTCACCCGCGAATCTGCGTCACCACAGGGGCCATCTGGGGACAGCTGGGGAAAGCCAGGCGAGCCGGCCTCCCAGCACACACACGAGCCTCTTGGTTGCTTCTCTCCAGCCGGAGAAGCCTGGCTTTAGTCTTTTACGTTTTAGGATCCTAGGGAAGGTTTTTGTCTGAGGGGAAGGAGTCGTCGTGCCCACCAAAAAAATAGATTGGAAATGTCAGTGTAGCTTAATGCCCTCGTGTCACACACGAGGTCCTGAGGAGGGAGGTGGCATTAGTGCCCAGGTTTTCTCGCTCCCAGTGCAGCGCCCTGCCTCCCGTCTTCACCGGAGTACTGGTTCTCCCAGGAGTCCCTGTTCTGGCACCGGAGGCTCTGGGCCTCGGTGCTCCCCTCTCCTACCCCGCAGAATGCAGGCCCTTCCCAGGAGCTCCTGTGGGCTGAGGGGCTGGGCGGCAGCGGCCGGGGGTGGGGTGGGGCTGGAGAGCCCTGCTCAGCCCCTCCCCCCGCCACCGTGTCCCCTCAGTCGGTCGTGCGCATCTGCTGCATCCGCAGCTTTGGCCACTTCGTCGCCCGCCTGCAAGGCAGCATCCTGCAGTTCAGCGCGGAGGCCGGCATCTTCGTCAGCATCGCCCAGTCTGAGCAGGAGGGCGTGTTGCCACAGGCCCAGGCCCAGATCCGCATGGTGAGTCGGCCCGCCTCCCTCCCTGCCTGCTCTGCTCCCCACCAGGCTCACTGAGAAGCCAGCCCGAGGGGCCCAGACAGATGGGGGTGCCCTGGATGGAAGAGCGTGCCGAGTGGGGTTGGGACACCGAGCCCGGGGAGAGGAGGTGCAGGGAGGGCAGTGGCGGGCAGACCAGGGGGTGGGGAGTGAGAGGTGCCTGTGTCCAGACCGCCTGGGGGTCGAGGGCCGTGTCTGTCTGCTCCGGGTCTGAGCTGGGCACGTCACCTGACCTTGCTAAGCCTGTTTGCCTAGCAGTTACATGGCGTCGGCGGGGTTGACCTGGGGCTGTTGTGTGGACAGGATGGCCGTGTGTCTCAGGCACCCTGCCCACTGCAGGGTGTGTGCCCGGCAGGTGCTCCCAACCCTTCTTCCTCTCTAGGGGATGAAGACTGGGACCTGGGCTGG